AGATACTTGGATAATATTAGTTTGTTAAAACAAGAAAGCATAAAGTTTTTCCTTAGTTTTGCTTCTCTGCAGAGAGTTGGGAGCATAAGCCTTTTCAAGTACTTATGGAAAACAAATAAGTATACTGATCAATAATTTGATGCATGCAATTATCAGGAATTATAAAGTCAACTGAACAAAATAAACTCTTAGGAATATACAATACACCATGACTATGGACATAAATATACTTGAAGGTATTCAAAAATGCCAAAATGTAAACCGTACTTCAAATGAGTTTAAATACAGTTATACTACAATTAAACACTAATACCAAAACGCTAGAGCAAGATACATTAATAAGTAAAGTGTTCATAGCTTCTGTCATGTGAAAGAAGAAGATAAACTTAAGATAGCCAATAAAATCAGGCAAAAAACAAAAAAAAGTCTGACAAGCACCTTTCTTAAGGGCATACCGAACAAAATACATGACATAACTGAAAAAGAATTGTCTAACAAGTATTATTATATGAGGTCCTAATGTTCAAATAAAATATCACAAGCTTACATGGTATTTTTCCAGACAGAATCCGAGCTTTCTCAGCACGCTTCAAATTTTTGTGTGCTCCTCTTCCTGCACTGTAGCGATTTTCATCCTGCAAGAAAAAAACAACAGGAAATTTGAATGAAATAAAAGGAAACAGAAATAAGGTACTTGTAAAACTTACATTCTGGTTTATAAAATTAAATAAAATTTATGAACATAATTAATTTGTCACATGTAAAAACTTGGATCTGACAAAACAACCAAACACTAAAAGAAAGAGAAACACTGGAAGGCTATACAATGAAACATGTCCTCTCCTTGAATAGCATGCGCTAAAAGTATCCTCAATAACCCCTAATAAAAGGGGATTTGCGAACAGAAAAAGAACAACTAATACCTCTGAAACCATTGAAAAATAAAAAAAATCTTAAATTCTACAATTTTTCTCATGTTTTTACCTTTTCATATTCATCAAGCCACTTTTCCTCCTCAAATGCAAATTTGCACTTCTCTACCTTGTCCAAAATATCCTTCCTGCTTAGAGCTTGCTCTTTGGCCTTTATAATCTGATCATCCATGCTTGAAAGCAGATCAGACAAATTGACATTACCTGTTAAGCCATATGCACCACAATCATATTTTCAAGGGCAGTTTCACCATTATAATTTTTTTTTAAATATTCTTAAAACTATATATAAGAGGCCAAAAAATTTGAGGGTCGTTAAGACCAGAATCTATGAGCCTGCTGAGGATCTGTCTGGCTGCATCACTATCTACATCCATGTGGACCCCTCTGTAAATTTCTTCCAGCTCATTTTGCCTCTTAAACACCAACTCCTTCATCTTGCTGGCTTTCAAAATATTCAATCTCTCAACTTCAACCTCAGCCTAGAAACAGTAAATTGTAATGATAACCATGCAGTCATTAGTACTACATAGTCATTAAAATAACAGCACAATATTCTCTACATGAGCAATTCCAAGAGAAACTGAAGATAATAATTAGCACCTGTTCAATTACATCTAGAGAAAGGCATCCTTGCCTTGACACGTCATTAACTGAGGAAGAAATTAACATAGTAACATGGTCAAATATTTTCTGTTCATCAATTGGTGTCTCCATGAGATTCCAGAGTTCAATCAGTTTGCTGCCAAGATCTTGTAGCTACAACATACATATACTGATAGAGTGAGAGAAATTCTGATAAATGACAACTGTAACAAAGTAATGAAAATCCGTATAAATGGACTCCACGGAAAAATCTTACTTATACTTTACAGCGTAAGGCTCAGATTTTAAGCTGCATTACTTTAACTAATAACTTATATATAAAATTCAAATGATTATGAAGCAGAGCTAAATTTATGTTTCTTTTAATGTACACGAGGCAAAGGGGAAACAGAAACTGCTTTGCAAAAAATTACTTAATTAGCCAAGCCCACGTCCCTTAATCTTTCAATTCAATATAGAATTTCGTTGTATCTTCTAGCTAGTCTCACAACTTAAACAAAATATAATAAATTTCTGTACCAATTCTGTGAAAAAAAAACTAAAAGGCTTTATTGGTTGGAAGAGATTAAATGACAACCAAGTCCTGACATTGACATAACTGCAACAGAGAATATTCAATGCTGGCTTCCAAGACAGTACTGGGAAATTAAATGGGCAGAACTTTACAGACTAATTCAACAAAGTAATAAAATAGTTCTAATTCATGTACTGACCAGAGAGAGAGAGAGAGAGAGATTCAATGTTGAGTCACCTTTTGCAGTCTTTGCTGTTTCTCTTGCTTTAGTGAGTTAGTCAAAGCCGTCAATCTGGCAAGTGTGTCATTGCTGATGCTCTTGGAATGAGCCGAGGAGTGATCACTCAAGCTTGGGTGGACTTCATTGACTGTCTTAGAGAAATCAATTGACATTACAACTGAGAGTTCATGGATGGTGTTGACATGAGCGTCGACTTTCTGCAAACGTAAAACCTGCACAAGGCATATCCAGAAATAAAAACAAAAAGTTCAATTGCAAACACAAGTGAAATTCAAAACCCAAGTTAAATTTAAGATTATCTGTGAGTTCTAAGCAGAGACACCACTTAGTACCTTCTCTTTGTGAAGCTCCTCAAGGTGTGACTGAAGCTCCCCCAACCTCTTCACACTCAAATCACGCTCATTGACTCCCAGATCACCAACATTCTTAGAAACACCATTCCCGGCTATTTCAGCCGAAATCCTTACAATCTGCGACTGAATTGCCGAAAAATCCTTAACCCTTTTCTCCTTCTTCAAGCTCAAGTCGTCCAAAATGGGTTTTACGGCAGATAATTGGTCCTTGAGAGAACCTCTTTCACGTGAGTAGGAAGCCGCTTCCCCAAGCGCCGAAGCAATAGCGGTAATTTGGGCTTGGCCATCTGTCAAGGATTGGTGCAAATCGGCCAAGTACTTTCTCGTCATTTCCACCTTCTTTCTGTAGATATGGAGACATTCTTGCTCAAGCTGTAGAAGCATCTTGTCTCTTTCGCTGTCACCCTCCCCAATTTCATCCCAAATTATCTGCAATTTCAAAATCAAAAATTCCAATTAAACCCTCCTCCTCCGCTAACAAAATTAAACTCACATGGAAAATGAAAAGCCAAGGAAATCAGAGAGAGCTAGTGTCAGAGAGAGAACCTGCAATTCGCGGAGGAGAGAAGCGCAGGTTGTGCGAGAGGGAGAGAGGGACGACGGCTTTGTGGTCATCGCGAGAGGGGATGAAACGTCGTCGAAGTGAGTAGCAGCAGCACTTGGGAGAGGTGGAGAAAGGGAAAGAGGAAAACCCTAGGGTCTTGAGCGAGAGAGAAGAGAGAAGAAGAGAGAAAATGTGCAGGCGTTACGAAAACGAGCGTTTCTGGGTTTCGTTTTTGGGTCTCTCTGTTTTGTGTGAGTGTGTGTTTCTGGCTGTGGATTTGGGATTTGGGATTTGGATTTGGAAGATCCCTGGAAATGATATGAAGGTGCGATTATTGAATACGAGAGAGGGAATGTGCCTTTCGAAATGGGAAGTACGGATTTCCCGGTGTTTTGGCGCCAAGAGATATATGCCTTTCATTTGCAGCTTTGCTTCTTTCTTTCGTTTTTAACTTTTTCTTTTTTAATTCGATCAGCCGGGCCTGGACATGATACAAAAGGCCGAATGAAGATTATTTAAGACCAACAAAACAAAACAAGCTTTGATTGATCTTCTTTCTTTCTTTTTTTCACAAATAAAAAAAATAAGATTGAAAAAATATAATTTTAGGAGCAATAGTCATTGAACTTGAACCGATTCGCATTTTGGTCCTTGAATTCACAAAATGATTATTGTAATCCTCAACTCCACTTAGAGGTAAAACACATCCTTATCGTTAAATCTTTCTTCTAGCTTGAAGTGTTTTATTTTTCTTCTTATATATAGCAAATTCACCATACCCTCTAAGTATATGAACTGGTGAACCGGGTGGTGCTAGAGGCACCAACTTTGGGCACCACCTTGGGCACCAACTCTCTAATAGAGGTGGAGCCCGCTAATACAACGGGTCTCACGCTCTATTAGAGAGTTGGTGCCCAAAGTTGGTGCCTCTAGCATTTTCCCTAGTGAACCCATGATCTGCCGTAAAACCCATTTTGGCCATTTTGACCGAAAAAATTCTTTTAGGCTGTTTAAAAGGGTGCCGTAAATCAAACTTACTTAAAAATCAAACTTAAACAACTTAGACTATCTACTCATGATTTAAACGAAAATCAGACCGGTTGTGTTAAGTTTACTTTTTTCTAAAATATCAAATCCTTAGGTGACCCCATGATCTGCCGTAAAACCCATTTTGGCCATTTTGACCGAAAAAATTCTTTTAGGCTGTTTAGAAGGGTGCCGTAAATCAAACTTACTTAAAAATCAAACTTAAACAGCTTAGACTATCTACTCATGATTTAAACAAAAATCAGAACGGTTGTGTTAAGTTTACTTTTTTCTAAAATATCAAAGCCTAATTCAAGAGTCCAACTCTCCTATCACTAACCATTAGGCTTAAATGATTTTCATAATTCTCCAAGTCTAGCAACCCTAAATTCCCAACTATAATCCCAAAACCATTCCTCTTTCTCTATGGCACACTTTCTGTTTCCCGAGTTGCCTTCTCTCTCTCTCTCTCTCTCTCTCTCAAATCTTGAAGATCTTCATGCAAATCTGAAGATTCTATAGAATTGACAGAGCGAACTGAATTGATCTGGAAATTATATGCATTGGTTCGATTGATCAATATTTTAACAGAAATCAAAACCGAACCTAACCAGTTTTGTTTTTCAATTTTGTTTTCAGTTTTGAGGGTGAACCGAACTGAACCTTACCTTGCCCACTTCTAGCCAAATATTTTAACCTGATAACCCCTTTATTCCGACCAGCTCTCCACCACAATTAAGGAGTATAGGCCAATCATAAGATAAGCCGGCGAGGAAGCAAAGTCTGTGGAACATCTAAATGTGCCCTTTCCAACAGGTGCAATGAGAAATGTGTCAATCTCCTAACAAACGTTTAATAATCTACTTTCACTATCTGGACAAACAATTTACATAACAAGATTACTATGAGAGGTGAACATTACAACGTAATCAAAATAAACCAGAGGTAAAACGCAAAGGACATGTCCACTATCATGTATCATATAGCAGCAGGTTCTTCCTTTTCCCTCTCGGCTCCTTTCTCATTGTCACTTCCTTCAGTCTCTTTATATCCATTATCCGAAATCCTTTGCTCTGAGGGCAAATTCTTTCTGGCTTTCTTTGTCCCTTCAACTTTCCACTGATCCCAAACTCGTGTTCTGGGCGGAGTTATGGAATCTCCAATCGGAGCAACTAAGCCTGGCTTTCCATCATCAATAACTACATCAATCAACCCATAGTCCTTGGCTTCCCAAGGATTCATGAAATTATCACGGTCCGTGTCCTCTTCAATCTGCAGCAACAAAAGAAATTTAGAAAGGAAAGAGAAAAATTCCCTCACAGAATATTTACTATTGAATAAAATCTCATTTGCTGCCTGACCTGCTCCAAAGGCTTCCCTGTGATTCTTGAAAATATTTTGTTCAATTTAATCTTGTGGTACACCATTTCTCTAATTCGTATACCCATTTCTGTTGCCTGAATTCGCATGTAAAATTGAAGGATAAATCATGAACCACCAACAGATGTATTAGCATTGTAAATAAAAAAACAGTACTATTCTAACATTATATTTAATCAATATGGATGCGTTCTATCCAAGAAGAAATTTATAAAAAAGAAAAGAAAGGAGATGACTGAAATCCTCCATGACATAATTAATGCATGCGTTAATATGTTAAAGTTTAACCATCATAGGAAAACACTAGAACTTGCCACATCTGCATTGTTCCACCTTTGCTATGAAGTTGATTGCCGTAAATTACTTTATTAAAGTTGATTTAAGTACACTTTCCTTTGGCAGAGGACCAATCTATTTCACTTATATATGAAGACAACTACGGTAGTCCTCATCCCTTATTGGGAAATGAATTGGCAATGTAAAAAATATATCACAATACCACAAGCCTGCCCAAGTTGAAGATCTAACAAAGGGCACTTCAATTGCACAAAGTATGTACTTGAAACTTGAAAGTTACTTAAGTGGACTTTAGCTGTTTTCCCTGCATTCAATGAATTAAAAATTTAAAATGGATGGGAAAGAAAACAGGAGTCTTGGGTAAGCATAAACTACAGTATTCAAGTCTACAGCAAGAAAAAAGCAAAATTCTAATGAAAATTCCAAAGCTAACAAGATAAAAAGCACTAGACAGGGGCTTTTGCTGACCTCAACATCACCTTAAAAATCATGATCTGTACACTACGATTTGAGGGTATGGGCATGAGTATCGTCAAACCCTATGTAATGTGTACACATAGTGACCGACACATTCAACCTCCAAAATTGCAAGCATGAGGACATGTCAATATATCTTCGTATTTTTCTATTTATGTAGACATCCACAGACCTTTGACTATACCTTTTCTAGTAGAATCATAATTATGAAAAGATCTTTCATATAAATATATATTATATATATATAGCGAGAGAGAGATCTTAATTTATGATAAGATAACCATACTTTTCTATACATAAAAGTGTTCAGCACCTTGATAGCTTTTCGCTCTATAGCAAAGGAAAGCATCCAAAGAAGTGCAGGCAGACACAAGCGTGACGTCCTTGGGTGCCCAACATGCCAAATTTTAAAATATTGTCCTAAAAATGCACACAGGACTCATTTGCTCTTGCTCCAGATGAACGTCAAGATAAATCAGGCATCACTTGATTAACTGGAGCGAGGGGAGAAGCTCACTGCTCAACTGTCACAAGCCAAAGCCTCGCAACAATGCAAAAAATGGTCATTCCGCTTTAAGATTTATTGTTGCACGATTTTCTTATTCCTAGCAGAAATCCAACACCAGAAGAGCAACCTGAAGGCAAGCAGGGCTGATACCAACCAACTCCTAGAGGATAAAAAATAAGGTCTTACCACTCACAAGTACAAAAGCTCACAAAAATCTAACAAAGGTGATCTATTAAGGATGTCACCTTACCTTGTGAACAAACTATTGAGTATGGGAGAGTTTGTTTAGTAACAAATGATACATTACTCTTGAGCACGAGAACTTTCCTAGTCAAATGATACATTACTCTTGAGCATGAGAACTTTCCTTGTCAAATGATACATTATTAAGCATTATACACAGGCACCAACGACATTATAAATGCCTCCTTGAGTATTTTTGCTTTTTTTCTTCTTTAATTATTCATTTATACTTTACACTCCAGAGAAATCGAAAGTCAAGAATGGACTTTCCCCTTAGAATGGGTAATCCTATAATACTATAAAACAAAATGTATAAGTTACAGTCTCCGATCAACAGAGAACTTGGATTTATACAAAAGTTAAATCTTGCAATGAAGTAATGAAAGAAGATGTTTGACCTACCCTCAAAGACCATGCCTCAAACTGGAGACTCAGTCTCGGGTGTGCTAAGTTTGTAAACACATCTTAAACAATTAATGGTCCTCTATAACTTAGAATCAGAAACACAAAACAGGATCAATATTAATACACGCAACGAAACCAAGCATAAACATATTGATCTCAGTGAAAAAACAGATTTATAGAAATATAGATGGAAATATTGAAAAATTACAGAAAACAAACAGTACTTAGAAGCATGAAACTTCATGAAATTTTATACCAAACAATAATGCATATATTAGACATGCAAAAAGGATTTAGAACTCCGACCAATAAATATGGACATCCACAACAATAAGCAGAATACAAGCACTTACTTTGCCCCCTGCAGTTCCAAGAGGTTGATGGATCATCACTCTTGCATTGGGCATGCAGTATCTTTTTCCTTTTGTCCCAGCAGCAAGGAGAAATGCCCCCATAGAAGCAGCAAGCCCCAGACAAACTGTTGAAACATCTGCCTTGCACAATTTCATTGCATCATATATTCCCATTCCTGTATGCAGCGATAAATTCGTAAGAACAACAAAAGAGAACTTTAAGAAAAAAAATTATCCTCAATCCAACAAAAGTCATATTCTCAATAACAAGAGAGGGGGGCTGGCTAGGCCCGAGCCCTGCCAATTTTTTCCCAAACAGAAATATATGGACACGTTTTCAACTGTTTTTCTTTTCAGATAACCTCTTTCAATCATTTTGCTGTCATTCAAAATGCAGAACGATTGATATAGATTTGGACTTTCAGATAAAAGAACCATGTCAACTGAAAATGATAAATCCAACATCACACCAATATATCATTCCAATTTGATCGGATATCACCTACGGGTCCCCAACATCAAACCATATAAATATTCTTTGCCCCTCACACAAATCAACTACGTTTCTCCTTCCTTATAATTGCATCACTTGCTTGTTTCTTGCTTATTGTTTCTTTATTAATTCGTTTTTGCTTGTTTATTCATTTTCTCTTACAATCACACAATCAAAAGTTATCTTCAAAAGGCACACAAAACTATATTTACACAGTTGCAATATTTTAAAAATGCCCTTTTTGTATAAGTCATATACATCGCACTATACTTTAATGGCAGTATTACATGGCAGAAAATGTAAGTAGAAAGTTTTACAATCAAAGGCACATAATGATAAAGTTTTACAATTGAAGGCACATAATGCAAAAGTTTTACATTCAAAGGCACATAATGCGATCACTTTATTTCTTCATTCTTAAGATTTAGTGATTCAATAGGCCTTGACCAAAATCAACACATCAAATCAATAGTCACACAGATAGCCATTGCTACTTCTCTTCCCGTTGAACTCTCTTCATTTTTATGAGAAAAACAGATTTTATCATGTAAAGATAAAAGAGAGAAGATACAACAAAGGGGACAAGTTATCCCCCAAAGACCAAACATCTAATGACGGAAAACTAACAAAATACATAACTACAAAACTGTACTACAAGATAACACTCCAATCAAAGAATATTAGAATGAAAAGACCGGTCCTCAAAGTTAAAGTCAAAGAATTGAACGATCGACTTCCTCCCCCATTACACTTTCAAACTACCTTCTATTTGTCTCCAACCAAACCACCTAAAAAATTGCCAACACAGGACACTCCTCAGCACCAAACCCCCTCCTTCCGAAAATCATTAACTTTTCACCAAACATTAACTTATCCTACAGATATTTTCTAAGACATCCAACAGATGAACTAATCCACCCACACCCTGTTTATTCGAGTTTCTACAGAACCCAAATTCCCAAGCAAAACGAAAAGAGGACGACTTGAACACAAACAATCAATGGAAACAGTATGAAATCATGAAAATCTAAACTACTCGAGGAAAACGAGAAGACTCTGTTTCCACAACCCAGCAGTTTTCCCAAATTCTCACCCATTCCCCATACCCCACCGCAATCTTACAGAAAAAAATCAAAAGAGTTGAGGCCTTCAGAGGTGTCTTTCCAAGGGCATCAGCTTGAACCTCTAATCATGATGTTAGAATCCCAACCATCTCATGCAGCGTGTATTTACTCTTAATGAAAGCATACCAAATTGAACCATTATAAGTCTACATGCCAAAATGAATCATCACATTTACTCTTAATTCATCCATTTTCTTTCGCTTCAAACATAACTGAATCATCAATAAGTATGCCTCATCCAGATCCAAAATCCTAGCTCAAATAAATGAACTACGGACAAGGATATTTAAGTAAAGATGTAGAGTGTCATCACTAGGATTTTATGTGAAAGCTTTCCATATATAAAAGGCATTCACATTGTTCGATTTTAAAAAGTCCAATTTTCAAAGATGTCAATATCTCCGCATGGGAATATGAAATTAAAGACAAGAATATGGAGTTGATGACAGGTCAGGATCTATATTGTCTGTCTAGAAGGCCTTCAGTACATAAGAGTTGTTTGAATAACTATTTGGACTGTCCAACATTAGCACAACCATGATACTGAGGTAAAGGCATCTTATCTAATACATTTCTAATAATCATATCCTTCCCCACTATTTGACGCGCGTTCTTCTAGTCTACCTTCACTTCACCTCATATTACTGCATCAACTTGAATCAACTCAATCTTACTGCTGGTGCAATCTGGGGTCTTCCCAAATGACCAATCTTAAACAACTACCTTCTCTGTAATCAGTGCGACCCTATTCTTAGAAACTGAAAAAATTGATTTTCTTAATCATCTGAAAAGTTAACACAATAAGTCTATTGAGTCAACTTCGAGAAATGATTTTTGTTGGGGATATTCCACAATATGCGAGGGGCTTGCAAATCCACCAAGCTGGTGACATTAATGCCCTAAGGCAACAAAAACATGGCATCCAAGTTTGACACATTCTGAGATTGTGACAAAGGTATCACAATTTTGACGTGAAGGCTTTTTTCAAGTTGCTGCTAACAGCCAAAACCTAGTAAAGCTCAAGCCAATAATTATATTTGTAGTGATCAGTAGCTACATGTAAGTAGACTATACATCAAAGCTTAGTCAATTCAATATATTACTTGCTTTACATGAATTGCGATTTTTTGTTTTGGTTCTCTTTCTTTAAGGTTTCCTCATTCAATATTTTGCAAAAATAATATATTATCATGCATGTAATCCTTTGTGCTTGATACCAAAGTATGGCTTCATGATGCTGTTTTCCTCACTTACTAGCTTGCACGCCCATGCTTTACATTATATTATCATGTGAATTGGTTTCCTAACTTATATAATAAAATTATGTAGTTTCATCTGCAAATTTTGTTATCTTCAATATCAAGGATAGATAAAAACCAAAAAGCAATAATTCAGAAGAGGTCCCAGGATTAAACATACTGAATATGTTTTAAACATACCAGCGGTAACAGAACCACCAGGTGAATTGATAAACAATTTAATGTCCTTCTTTGGGTCCTCAGCATCTAGAAACAGAAGTTGGCTTATAATCAAATCTGCTGTCATGTCATCTACCTGCCCATCAGTTGAAAATGAAGAGAAGTTAAATAAAGCAACCATTTCCTATTTATCAATTTAGTCTTCTAGTAATTAAGAAACACAAACAAACACATAGTAATCCATTCCAAATATTCACTTTTAACTTTTAACAAACAGGAAATAGTACAAATTTAACAGGAAGGAGCAAAACCCATGTCAAAGTATTCAACGCTGAAGCAAGAAAACCAGCAAACATGGCTATATAGAAAAACCAATCCAAGACAAAATAACTAAAAATAAATAGAGAAAGACAGAAAGAAAACCTGAGAACCCAGAAAGATGATTCTCTGACGGAGAAGCATATTGGTAGTATCCAGCTCTTCGAATCTGGGCAGCCGTGGAGATGACGTAGTTGCTGTCTGAAAATCCCAATTGCTCGACAAGGTCTGTCTTGGGGGCGAAGAGCTTTTTAAGGCCTTAATTACACACACGCCTTTGCTTCTTCTACGACAACTAATACTATTGCTACTGCTATTAAGACCACTGCTCTTCACAATGGGTGACATCGGTACTTGGGTTTGTGAAGCGCCATTAATAGAACACAGTGGCCTTGAAGCTGAGGCTGCGTAAGTCATCATCCTCGTTCTCTCTCGTTGTCTCTGTTTGAGCTCACCCTTTTGCCTTTATCTGAGAAAATTCTGTCGAATTGGGAAGGAAGGAAAAATAGGCTGAGCTTTTTGACGAAAGGGCAAGTGCGAGAACGATGCCGTTCTGCAATTATATTAAAGTTGTTGTCTTTCGACAAATAAAAGACCCAAATACTATCTCCAACCCAAAATCTTGCAGACCTAAATTTTGGCCTTTCAAATACAAGTATTCATTTCTAAATTATTTTTTACTCCAATTATGCTTTCTCAAAATTTGAGACCCATAAGGTTATTTTTTATGATTTAAAATTTTAAATAAAATTAGTTTATTGAAATGAGTACATAAGTTAAACTAATAGTATTATTTGTACCATGTTTATTTAAACATGTGGTTAGCAATATGGTATAAATTGAAATTAAAACTAAGTGCAACAAGACTTAAAATAAAAACAATATTAAACTAACAGATTTTCGCAGGATACCATGTATTTTTTACTACCCATCCTTGCTTTCCTCTATGTTTTCAATGACATCTGTATACAAGAATAACTGATTAAACTAAACATCAAACATCAAGAAGGATTTAATCATCTTGATTTTAATAGAAATCATGAACATAATCCCAAGATGACCACCAATAATGATTATTGGGGGACTTCGTCTTCCCTCTTTGTCCTCCTAACATGTTTTACAAGGACTCTTGTGAAGCTCCATATAGTACTTCCGGAAAGTCTGGCATAAGTACAACCTTAGTATTGTTTTGGACACCTTTGGGAGAGGTAAATAATGAAGCCATTCCACGATAACATAACGAGTGTGGTGAGTTTAGGGTTCATGGTAATATGTGTGTTGTTGACATACGAGACTGACGGAGCCGAATAAACCATAAATGTTTCACCACATGGACATTACCCTAGCACTGAACCCACATACTGCCCCAACTCATGAACATTGAATGCCTGCGACATGGCCAAGCGAGGGAGACCCCTAAGTACACCCCTTTGACTGAAAATTCACACACAAGTCACAACACACACTCAATGACCTCAGCAGTTCACAAACACGACACCCTCTCCACATCTATATGAACTCCTACCCCAACCATGTATTTGTCACATCCTCCTCAATGTTACAAATGAGAATCGTTTTGCACTTTCTCCTTTCTAAAAAAATGGTCATTCTATATAATGACCCTCTTCTTCCTCGTTAGCCATAACCCCTCACCTCCACCCTCACATTCTCTAAACCCTCTCAGTCTCAAATTCAACTACCCTATATCAACCTTCATCCCCATTGCACTCATGAAGTTTTCAAGGATTCATTAACTTCGTGATCTTAAGCACCCCAAATCAAGAACAGTTCTTATTTGAATGGATGATCCTACTATGAACATTCTATATAACTGTCAGGCTGCCTTTCTACACATTATGTCATGCATATTATATTGTTGATGTCCAAAAATGGATTCCACTTATAAATGGGCATGCCTTTGGTTGATAGGTGTGAGATGGATCTACAAGGGGAGAGTGCAAAGGTGAAGACCTTGACACCGGTGTGGTATCGGCCAAAGGCTCTCCAATGTTAGCTTAAGGATGGAGTGTGTAAGTAATTTGACATAGTAAGAGTTCTAGTGTCGAATTACTATTACCTGGTCCATTGGGGTAAGAGCCCTTTTTATATAAGTAAAGTGGGGAGCATACTTGGTTGGTATTTCAATGTGGGACTGTAGGCATCACTCTTGGTGTTGCCATATGAACCTAAATGAAAGTGGCACAGCAGGTGCCTTCGCTAGGTCGCATCGGCAGGTTAGATAATTGAAAGCTGATCCCTGTAAATGATTAGTGTGAGCCCTAGTGGGTGGCTTGGGCCATGTAGGCCTTTTCTTGTGGGTCATTCGTCCTATGTGGTTGAGAGAGTCCGATCAGATATGGTATAAACATATATGAACCCCGTTGCATTCCAGAACATCTCTTTGTTCCATCGCGGCGAAGGTTGTCTAGGTGCCTAATTATCACCTACCACTAGATTTCTTATGTGCTCTACTTGGTCTCCAAGGTTGCTATGATAACCTTGGCTTTCGTCATCCAAGTTTCCCCGTTCTCCTAGGTTGCTCCGCTTGAATCAGTTGGCATGCTAGCATTACCAAGGTTTTACGACTAGTCGTCTAAAGGTAGTAGAGTATGTGACATCTCCACCGCGTCATGAAAGACATTTTTAATTTACATGTTCATTTGAATGTCATGGTAAGTGAGTCATAAACTATATCCAATGACGCTCATATAGAACGCGTCATGGATGACATAATTTAGTGATGAGTATTTTAGACACATCATTGAAAGGCATGTTTGTTGTATTGACTATATTGGTCTTAAGTTCTATAGTTTATATGATCAACACAACCTCTCCAATCTATATAAACCCCAACCTAACCCACCCATCCATCATAGCCTCCTTGACGTTAGGACTGATAATCTTTCTTGCACATTCTTCTTTATAAAAATAAGGGTTAATTACAATTTAGTACCCTGTACTTACACCCTTAAGACATGTTAGTCCCTGTATTTTCAATTTTAACAATCGCATACCCTTAGTTTGTAAATTTTTTGCAATGTGGTTCCGCTGTTAGGGTTTCTGTTAGATTTCTCTGTTAACTGCCTACGTGGCATTGTGGGTCCCACATTTTTTAATTTTTTAATTTTAAATTGATTAAAATATAAATAAAATATTAAAAATCAAAAAATCAAAAAATTTCTCTCTCTCTCTCTCTCTCTCTCTCTCTCTCTGTAAAAATTCTCCCAAACCGCTGCGATTTTCTTCTCCCCTTCATTCCACCATGCCCACTCGCAGCCATCCTCCAAAACCCCCACCTCCAAACGAACCAAGACCCCAGCCGGCAACCACCCAGACTCCCTCCCTCTCCCTCTCCT